GATTTTCGAATTTCGGAATGGCACAGAAGGAATTTTGGAGCTGTATTAGCATTATATCTACTTAGATGAGTAAAACTTTTAAACCTGCTGAAGCAGAATGAATATATAGCTTAGAATTAGAAATCGCGATAGGGATGAGTGTTGAATAGAGCTCGTGTGTGGCAACAAACGGTTTTGAAACTACTTTCACGTCACTCTTCTAATTGTGCCTTAAGAGAGGAGCAGTCTGAGGAAGTATTAGGAACTTGAAAAGAAACCAGGCCCGCACTCAGGCATCCCATTTCTCCCCGTTCCTGCCTCAGTTCCCACTTGGATTCGTGACAACTCCACAGGGCACACTGGGCTAACCTTCCTCGCTAGCGCCTCACATCAGAACTTTTGCTGGCTTTCAAATCCATTCAGTCTTAAGAGTTGTGCGTCCCTCTCCCATCGTGCAGTGCCTTACATCAGAACAGCTACTCGCATCAATGGGATGATGAGAAATACCAAACGCTGATAAGTTAACATGCCTCTCCTCCCAACAAGTACATTTATGTATCGACAGGGTATTTCTGGAAGCCTCGGCACAGCTGTAAGGAATGTCTTTGAATGCTGAGAATGGCAGGTGCTGTGATTGGCCAGTGGGAAACTTCTGCAGGGACCAGTCATGTTTAATGTCTCTCCAGTGACAGAAGCTGACTGTCACCTGACTCAGGCAGTGAGGGCCTGCAGCCATCCACAAGGTTGAGTGTATCAGCCCTCCCACCTCCTAAATTTCCACAGGACTCTTCCACTCTCATGGGACATAATTGGCCATAATGTTTAGATGTAATCAAGGAAACCTGCATTAACAACATGAAATTAGATGTGAAGAAAAAGAATTCTGCAAAGATTTAGCTCTTAGCCATGCTCTTGCAGAATGGAGACGCGATGCTTGCTGTTCGTGGATGCCACCCCACACCATCGCAGGGAGCGTTGGCAAACCGTGACATCCCTGTTCAGCTCTCCAGTTTGTCTTTGCTTCTGGGTTCTCCCTGCTCCAGGTAGACGTGCATCCAGCCTTGGGACCTGGGCAATCCGTGCCTAGATTCTCCTTCTATGACTCCCAGAGATAAGATGGTGCAAAAATAGAAGGCTGCCATGTCAAAGAGCTGTGCAAAATCTAATAAAAGGAAGAGCATTGTGGGCTCAAAGATGTGTCTATTCTTGCAGGATATGAGCAGCGTGTAAAGAGACCAAACATGAGATAAAAACAAATAAATGGGCTCATGAGGTCCTAGAGCTGAATGGGGCTTTCGCAGACCCTTCAGGCTATACAATGGACGTCCATAGATTGAGCCTCAGGATCTACCTTTGGAGTGCAAAATGGCCATTTTCTCTTTCAGCTGTTTTAGGTTTAAGTTTCCACATTGTATCCAAAGTCACCCTTTGAATACACCAAAAGGAGAAAAGGTTCTTGAGGACACGGGTTCATTTACTTGTTTTCATTGTAAGTGGCTGAGCATCAGTAGGCACACTTAGAGGCTGGGTTTACTTGGCAGTCTCTTATTGTTCCTGGATGTTCAGACTCCCAGGGGTAGCATTCCCATGTAAGCTATCGCAGTGAGCTTCTGATAAATGAGTCTTGGCTAGCCATGCAGCGCACACAGCATCTGAAAGAAACAATGCCTGCCTCTGACTCAGCATAGGTTCAGCCGCAGGAATCATTTTCCAAAATGTAGAGGAGGAACACCGGAATCAACCATCGCTTTTCAGCTCCTCTCAACTCCTGTGTCAGCAAAGGAAGCCGTGCACCTGCTGTTGTTTCTTCCAACGGGCTATAATGATTAAAGAGCTCATGGAGCCTGGCACATATAATTGCATGTCAATAATGGTCACCCCAATGCCATATTTTAGGAGTTATATCAGAAGGCAATCTCAGAATGAAACAAGAATTTATTTCTATACCAGATATATTAAAAAGCAGAACAGAAGTTACGCTTTACAGCAAAAAGAAAGAGATATGAGTCCATAGCTTTTTAAAATTTCTATGAGGACATTTTTTAGGGCAGTAAATACTTGAAGCTTCATGGAAAAGAATTTACAATGCACTCTGTGTGTTTTATTATTCATTATTTAGCGAACATTGTGAAGTTGATTTTGTTCAGGATATGGATGAAGACATGGAGCTTATTTAGGGGACCTCTGATTTAAAATGGGCAAACCGATTCATGCACAAATACATCGTGCATAAGATTCAATATCTGAAAAATGGCTTAAATATCAAAGTTTCTCTGTGTGGTTCTTTCGCAGGCTGATGGGTAGAGCCTTTGTTTCCAGAACTTGGGAAAGGACTTGCAGGAAAGGGAAGAATTTTAAACATAAGAATATTATACAAGAATATGTAAATAGGAATAATAAAATAGAGGAGACGATGCTTTTTCAGCTTTCAAGCAACAATAGTAGAGGAGGTGGGAGAATAATAGTAATAGCAGTTAGGCAGAGCTGCCACCAGCCTGTAGAAGGTCAGTGCTGGATGTCCTGAGCCACCTTGGCCTTTGCCCTGGAGGAGGACCCCTAAGAGCTGTACCACTGGGCTCCCGTGCCTGCCAGCTTCCTGTTGGGTTCAACCAATCAGAGGCAGCAGCTGCAGGTCAGGAGGTGGGACTAGGGGGATCAGGCTGTCTTGCCCTGGCTCCCTCCCTGACAGCCTTGGTTTGGCAGTTGCTTTGTCCTTTCCGACCTCTCTGTGTTTTCAGTTCTTGTGCATTCTGGGGACAACTTCTGCCCCTTATCCCATAGGACCCCTTCTCCTGTTGCCAGCCCCAGGGCGCTTCACCTCTCTGTGCTGGTTCCCTTTAAACTGTCCACACCTATATAAATACTCTCTTCTTTAAAATCTCTTTATTCCCCCTCTGAATGTGCCATCTGTTTCTTACCAGGACATAGACAAATATAGCGCCTTTGTAGGAATTAGAAAAAGGCACCCAGATGGGTACATGGGGGTTCATTATGTTATTGTCATAACTTTTATATATATTGAGAATGTTCTAACATAAAAAGGTTACCAAAAAGAAAAGAAAAAGGTGCCCCTTTTGATGAATGGTGCCCTGCAGGGGCATGGCTTGGTGACCACAGAAATGAGGCTGGATTTCAGCCCCAACTCACTCCTGCAGCTCGGAGGGATGACTTTGTGCAGTGCGCAAAATGCCCAGCTGAACCTGCAGCCCTACGAAAGGCTGGGCAGATCCCTGCAAGCTGGGAAATATCTTGAGGCGAAAGGGAGGCTAGGATATTTAGGACTTAAATGGGAAAGTGCACTACAGGCAAGGAAAACCTGTGGGTCGGGCAAGCATGAAATGGATACAAGGAATAGATTCTGTAAGACAAGGAGGGTCCCTTGAAGAGAGTGTTGCGGCATAAAGAAGTAGAACTGGGCAGAGATGGACTTTGATCGCTGAGCTGTAAGTGTGAACTGAAGCTTGAAACCCACCAGGCAGTTCAGGGCAGTGTTTGGTCACCTGGGCTCTGGAGCCAGACGGGGTTTACGTCATGCTTTTGCCATCTGTTGGCTCCGTGACTTTGTGTATTTGCTTATCCTCACTAAGCCTCAGTTTCCTATTTCATAAAATGGGTACAAAATAATACCTATTTCCTAGATTTGCTGATGGTTTGAATTTAAAAATGCATGTCAAGTTCTTCGCACCATGCCTGGCACTGAGTTGAGTGCCCATTAGCTACTATCCTCAAAAGTTTTCGAAAAGAGTGATATGTTGAAAGCAATATGTTATGAAAAATAACGAGGCCAGAAGTGCAGGGTACACTAGACAGGAGAGAAGGGGGCAGGGAAGTCAGTTGGGGCTGCAGTAGCTGTCTGCGCTCCAGTGAGGGACAAGGAACTGGGGAATAAAAGAAGCAGGTATGAGAAGCTCTGCCAGAAGAAGAGAAAGAAAACTGGGGAATGGACAGGTCATGACACTAACAAGGATTCAGAGAGGGCCCCGAGCATGTTTCCGAGATCTTTAGCCTCCGCTTGTATAAATAAACTTGGGCAGTGTAGACAGCTGATGTCTGAGCACTGACAATTCTGACATCTTGGTATAAGAAAAAGAAATATGAAGCTCAGAACCGTTCAATTTTACCCTTCTATTTTACTGAAAATTCTTGAATCTACCAAATTAGACCCAAGATTCTGTTATAAAATAAAACCCTAATGGACACTTCAATAAGTTGGTAATCATTAGTCACTTCCCAAACGTCCCAAAGATTGGGTTGTTTTTTTTAATATCCAGAAGTTTCTTCTGATTAAAATCTGAGGTGGTGGAGGCCTCTTCAGTTGAGAAAGAACATCCTTATACAAGTGAATTCTCTCGGATCATACATAATTAATGAGTAAGAACTGATTCTTACTACCAAAATTAGCAGAAGTGAGGAAGCTATCAAGTCCTCAACTTGAGCTATGTGGCGTTTGGGGAGGAGGGAGGAAAGAGTGGTTAATTTTAGGTAATGGTTTCTGTAAGTCCCCAATTTGGCATTCATTTGTAGGCAAGCCTACCTAAGAATTCAGTGCCACTTCAAAAACTAGTCTATAACTGATCAACACATAAGTGCACATATAAGAATAACATCTATTGGATGTTGGGCAGGGGGGA